AATCCACTATTAAAATCTTGTTAGGTTTTGACAATTCACACGCTGGTCCGCAATTGAACCTTCTCTTTGATATACATTCCCTGATTGAAGCAAGAGAGTAGCGCATACCTCATTAAAGTGGTATTTTTTTGTTTTTTTTTTATAGTAGGTGGAAGCATCGAAAGCCGAAGTGCGGAACTTGAATCCGCTAAACCTAACCTACTCCCAACCCAAATCTCTCCAACGGAACCACTGGACAAAGTATTACTTCATGGGAGAGAAGAAGACATTTAAGTCTCCTCTACGGTACGGACTGACTGACTCCTAATCTGTTGTAAGTGTCTCAATCTTGTCATTATCAAAGCTGACGCTTCGCTGACTGCTTTCCATTTAATAGAGGACTCACACATAAGTGCTGTCAAATTTTCCACCGAGAAACTACCGCCAAGTGTTGTTTTCAGATTTTCTCTTATAGTTGAGACTTTTATACACTCTGTACACATCGGACAGTACGGACTATAGTCATGACGAAATTTGTAAAGGTAGCTTCTAAAGCACCCATGCCCAAATCCAGGTCCCTATGCTGTCTATCTATCCACGGTCTGATGTCTGGTATCAATGTCGGATACCAAGTGGGCGGCGTCGACGCCTGGTGCCTTTGCCGCACTCCAGACGATCTCGAAAACGTCGGTATCGAACTCCTTTTGTCTCCAACTTCGTTTTCGAGAGGTATTTCTGCTGAGGAGTTCCGTTTCTCGGTAGAACAAAACTTCAGCAATTATGGCCATGTGGTGACTATTTGTGTACATGTCTGACACCTCCCACTTAATGTGCCTGCTAAGCGCGTCGTTAGCAAACATTAGGTCTATTACGGAACCTTTATTGCTCTTTTGAACGGTATTTTGCGTGCCACTGTTTATTATTGTAAGATTCGTTTGACTCAAGAATTCTAGGACAAGGAATCCACGATGATTTGATACCCCAAGCAGTAGACCATGCATTAAAATCTTTCGCTATTATTATCGGAGATTTGATTCTAGTCTCTAGAGACAGCTCAAGGAGAAAGTCTTCGAACTCATTTATTGACGCGTTAGGGCGCGCATAGAAACTTACTAGATATATTCCATGTATATTCGCCCCTGTGAAGCCGTTTTAGGCTTCTCTGGAGCACGATGTGAAAGCTTGTCCTTTGCAAGACCATATTGCTGCCTTGCCACTTATATTTTTAACCAAGAGCTTTCCGAACACTGAGTATACTGCTCACTTAGCAGGGCGACATCTATGTTTTCTTCTACCACCGCCTGTTTTAGCACGTCTTTTGCTGCAGCGCAATGGTTAAGATTTAATTGTAATTAATATCTTCATTTTTTTTCATATCTAAATACTTAGGACAGGCCGTACTCAAGACAGAGTGTTTCCCTTTGCAAAGCATACAGCTCGAGGCATTAGTGCATACTTTTGCCACGTGTCCTGAGGTTCCGCAGCGTGTACAGAGGGAAGACCTGTCAATGGGCTTGCGATATTTATGCGCCATATGCCGCACTTCGAAACACCTAAAGCAGCGAGCGTTAGATGAATATTCCCGGAGGCGACAAATAGACCACCCGATCTTTACTTTGCCAGACATATAAGCACTATTTGTATGCAGCTTCTGGTTTTTCGCCTACTTTTTACTTTTTCTTTCTTTAGATTTTGAATCCCACACTCCTTTTGTAATGCGTCGCTCCTTTGAGGGTTTTCCTGATGTACCTTACGTTTGAGCTCAATTCTTCAAGGCCACTATCGCATTTAATTTTTCTTAGAATATCCGCATACGACGCTCCCTCTTTTTTTTTAAATATTGTGATAGCGTCAGGTTTCGATGGGCTTCTTTTTTTTTAACTACGTCCAGCCATTTCTCACCTGCGGGCTTATCTCCTGAGCTGTCTTTCTGCATTACTTTTGTAACCTCACTATATGAAGCCTGCGCTTTATCGTCTGCGTTTTTAGGCTTTTTTGTTTTACAAGTAGGTAAATAGACTATCTTTATGAATAGGGGATACTTGCGACGCTTCCTCCGAAAAGGATTCTCTGGTGTACACCCCACTCATTTCAGAGGCCATACCTCTGCTAGAGAATCGTAGGGGACACCTGTCAATAGGTATGTTCAGTCCTTCGTCCTAAAAAACCTTATTTGTCCTTTTGATGGTTGGAAATGCCGTAACCAAAAGCAAACGAAAAAGGAAAAACAAAGAAGGAGAAACAAACGCGGAGAAACAGCTGATTGTTAAAAACAAAACGGCAGGTTAAAGTTGGGTGCACGTTTTTATATGCGGTTATTAGGGGAAATTGTAACTTAATTTATATTTCAACAAATTTACCACGAAAAAGGGGCAGGTACGTGCGAATAAATTTTTAATTTAATCTGATTTGTACTTATCTATTTCTTTAGGTTTCGTATCCTCTCAGAAGGTCCAGTCTCCCGATAAGTCACTTAGAAGAACTATAATGGTGTCACTATTCAAAACTAGGGGTATATAGCAAGTATTCCTAGAGCACTAAGAAACACGTTCACTTCAGTCAAACACACGAAATCTATATATCAGTACGATAATTTTCATTATGATGCATTAAAAATGTATCTTATTTCTACCCTCGCAGACAATTGGGCGATTTTTTTTTTTATAGGGAAAAGAGGAGAAGGCGCGAGCTCTTGGCTCTTACTGCTGGCGAATACCCTTGTCGTCTTTTTGCTCACAACGCCATCTACTGGTTCGTTCAACGAACAAATAATATCGATATTGTGGTTTGATTTCAATTATGTGCAGACTTCACAGACTTTCCATATTTTGTGTTCGAATGTTGGCTGTTATTCCTGTTATTGTATTGAGCTAACGTGCTTGCGTTCAAGATTTAAAATAGTAATAAAAAGCTGTAACTGGAAGCTCAACGCGATTATGCTTCTATATTAAATGATTGTGTTTTTATATTAATGAGTAAGTATGTCAATCGAAAACTTTAATTCATTGGCTATAAACTATATATAAACTATCATTTTCACTCTGTAGCTGTAAAGTGAAAAATGAGTTCTTTACGTGAAGATTCCGAAGAAATAAATAATACTAAACCGACTGATGTTGATTTGGACATTACACCTCCAAGAAAAATTGCAAAAATTAGCAATGAACATCGCCAACAAAAATTTAGACCTGGCTTCAACATGAAGATTATAAGCAATGGCTTAGTAAGGTGCCTGACGATCCGTACAAAGCTAAGTGTCAAAAGTGCAATATTATAATAAATGCAGAGTTGACTGTCATTAAAAACCACATGGTCTCCAAAGTTCACGCAAGTCGTAGTAAATTGTTAGAAGCTCAGCCGGACATTTCCAAATTTGTGAAAAAAAGTGATGAAGTCTGCACAAAAACTAAAGCAGTTCAAGCTCCCGAAGTAAAGTTGTGTGGTTTCGTGGCTGAACATAATATCTCATTGGCAACATTGACTCACCTGACAACACTTTTAAAAAGCGCTGTGCCTGATTCCGATATCATCAAACATATACAATTAAAATCAATGAAAGGAACAGCAATAATAAACAAGTAAGAAAGGGCTAAGTTCGGATGTAACCGATCATTTTACACTCTCGCAAAGTCAAAAAGTATACTCGTTTGAGATTTCTTTGTGGATTGACTGATATTTTCGGTAGAAGGTCAACTATAGGCACTGGGGTCCACTTATTTAGTACTTAGGGGCTTGAACAGTTTTGGTTCGATTTAGACAATTTTTGGCCACAAGGTGGCATACCTTAATCGCATTATTCACGCAAAGTTTCATCCCGATACAATCATTGTTGTCTGATTTGCATAGTGGAAAGTGAAAGAATCAGATGGAATTTAAAATGGTGTTATATGGGAAGTAGGCGTGGTTGTAGTCCGATTTTGCACTATGACATAGAAATATGAAAAGAACGTTATGCACCGAATTTGGTTGAAATCGGTTTAGCAGATCCCAAGATATGGGTTTTCAGCTAAAAGTGGGCGGTGCCACGCCCACTGTCTAATTTTGAACGCGGTTACTATAAAGCCATCTCATACCATCCCAGAGATAAAATTTAATGTCTCTGGCGTGTTTAGTGCTTGAGTTATCGCGCTTTTAGTAGTTTTTACCAGTACCGTTATATGGGGAGAGGGCGGAGTTGCCACCCGATTTCACCCTTTTTCCCACTGTAGGTGGGTAGGTTCTAAAAACATTTGCTTCCAGTGAATTTTGTTGTTATTGCACTAGCGGTTTAGGAAATATGCACATTAAAACTATTAGGGGCGGGACCACGCCCACTTAAAAAAAAATTTTATTGGCAGATGCCGCTCCCTATTGTGATCCTGTATACCAAATAAGAGTATTGTATCTTGTTGTGGAGCTTAGTTATGGCAATTTATTTGTTTTTGAATAATGGCGTTTTGTGGGCAGTGGTCCGATTACGCCCATCTGCAATTCGGTATCAAGAAACATGTCATAAAGATATCTTAATTTTTACTCAAGTTAGAGCTGGCACGGACGGACGGACAGACGGACAGACAGTCACCCGGATTTCAACTCGTCTCTTCATCCTGATCATTTATATATACATAACCCTATATCTAACTCGATTAGTTTTAGGTGATACAAACAACCGTTAGATGAACAAAATTATTACACTCTGTAGCAACAGGTTGCGAGAGTATAAAAGTGTAATCGCCAAAGCTGGAATAAGATTTATTTAATAATTATAGTCATTCTTTTTAAAAGTACGATAATTTCGTTTCATGTACGATAATTCTACGCTACTGGTACGATAGTCGCCTCTCTTCAAGATGTGAACACTGGGTACAGGTATAACTTCAATCTTCAATGCTACCAAGTTTGGTTTTGCCTATTTTAGCTCACTTTTACTATTGTGAATTGTTCGAATGACAAATGATATTACAAATTTCTTCTTTTTTATATTTTTAAAACTTAATACTTAAAATTAACTATAAAAATTTATAGAAAATCAAAATTAATAGTTACAGAACTTCTTCACTAAGCAAGAATCACAACACTATTGCGGATGTGCCAGAAGACATGTTAGCGCAGGGTTGCTGTGCTGTGTTAGCAAGTGCTGCCCGTTTGTTTGAGCATCTGGTATAGTTTGTTCGATTCGCTGGAGAGTAACGCTTGGCAAATCGAAAACAGCTATTATTAAAGTGGGCATTACATTTTATTTATATTACAACGACTAAAAAGTGGGGATAAAACTGATGTGCAACACATAAGAAAAAGCCTTCGTGATCAATCAAATACATTAGAACTTCCTAACAACAAATAAGCCAAAGTTATTGTGATTAAATTAGTTTGAAACTATACATAAAATAGTTTTTTTTATCCTTTTATATTAATATATTTCTTAAATAAACGTAATAATGTTGTACAACAAATAGTTGCAGCTTTTTGTTACTCTAGTCAACCACACTGGCACAGTGTTATAAACGGTAATACCACAAAAAATTTGAAGTTCGACAGTAGTTCAACTGAAGTTTTTTTTGATGATTAAGTCGTGGCGATAATACCGAATTAAAAACTTCAACTGAAAAGCAGCTGAGTTGAAAACGGTAATATAGGCTGAAATAGCCGACGAAAAGAATTAGGACACCATGCATTTACATTAAATTACACAAAATCAAAAAGCATTTCGATTTGTAACGGGTGATCAAAGTAGAGGTATTTTTTTCAATAGCCTTTTTTTGACAGATCACGCGTGAGTCCTGTCAAGCTGTCATGTTATTTTTATTCACTATTTTTTGGCATTTCATCAAATAAAGACGTTCACAAATCGTTTAAATTTATTACGTAAATTCACGTTCTGTAAAGAATGTGTTTCGCGCGCTTCGCTCAACTTATGGTCAACATAATCGGCTTAATGAGCGTACTATTCGCAACACCATCACCCATCTTGAGACCCTGCATTCATTATTGGATAATATTCGACCGAACAGACCACGTCCAGCGCGCATTGAAGAAAATATAGCGGCTGTAGCTAAGAGTGTACACGAAGACCGTTGAGAGTCGATTCGGCACCGTTCGCAGCAACTCGGATTGACGTATGGAACGACTTGGCGCATTTTAGAAGATTCCAAGATGATCCGTCGTTTTCGAGCCAAACCTCAAAGGGAACCTCAAAATGGAATACTCTTTACATGTGGAAGCAGAGAAGCTCGCGAGACATTACATTTTAAAGAATGAGATAACATCACTATTACAACCATCAATGACAACACATCACGCGTGTCATTCGCATTCGCCAGTTACTAGTCTAAATGCTCGAACGAGTCAGCGAAAATTGGACTCAACGGATGGACCATCATATATAGCATCGACCAATATTTGAAAAATCATAAACATTCCCCATTAAATTTGAATTTTCTTAATTTTTTTCTTTAAAAAAGTAGGGAACCTCGAAATGAATCACCCTATATATTACACATTTCGTTATCCCACGTAAACACTAATTAGATTTAATTTAATTATTACTTTAAATATCTATTTTCTAAATAAAATTTTTGTATCTCATAATAAACAAAGCTGTTATATAAGTATATTCAGGCAAAACAGTATTCATCAATCAATAACGTGACAAATAGTGGACATTTTCACATTTGTGATCATCACGACAAGGTATGTGGTTGTATTCAATTATGCATTGAAGAATTGTGTTACGATGCTGTCAAATTTTCAAATTTGTAACAATTTTAATAATTAATTTCAGAGTTGAGTTTGAATGATACCCAACTGTACCTAAAACCATCGGGTGTGCGAAATCTGTAATTTTTGTCAACACTTGCTTGTTTCATTGTTTATTCTCTATTGATTTATTTATAATATATAATATAAATTGTACAAGTTATAATTCATTTGGTGTTTGCACATATTTTCGTGAACGAAATCAGATAATATTGCGATATATTTGGTTGGGTAACTAGGATACATTAACATTATTGATGAAAATTTATAAATTAACATACGTATATCTTAAACCATAAATGTATTAATAGTTTGTACATTAAAATGTGACATAAATAGCAATTACTTATTACATTAAGAAAGTTTAATATATCTAAAGTTACACACATTCTAAAAGCTTATAAAATTCCGCAAAAGCTTTGATGGCAAGCGACTTACATTTTACTACTTTACTATTGAAGAATTAATTACATTCGTATATATGATAACATAATGATTAAAACAGAATTAATGGTTAGACTGAAATAAAATACTTGGACGGCACATTCTTATGCTTAAACAGTTAAATATTTGGCTTTTTGCATACATACAATTGAAATTATTCTATTGATAATGGAATGATTTTTTTATAAATATTTTAATGAAATAAATATATGAGCTTATGCAACCTATATAAAACAATGTTCAATAATATAAAAACTTAAACATTAGATAAAAATGTTGCAGTGTTTCCTTAACTATTAAATCGTATGTTGGTTTAGACCACGCGTATTTTATATGAGTAAGTTCCAAAATGTATGAGTAACACCATTCTTTTTTTTACTTATGAACGAAGTAAGCGTAATATTATGCGCACTGGTATTTGTAAGTTTACATATTAATATGCATCTTCCACCGTATATTTATGTACTTTGACCTTCAAAAACATTCCATTGCAATATACATGTTGGTTTGAAATTCCAGATATAGTGTAATACGCATTGTTGACATCAGACGAAATTTAAGCATTCGACTCCTACAAAGCCGAAGAAAATGAAAACTGTATTATATCTCAATGCTGTTGTTTTAATGATTATTTTCTATGCAGTAAAAAATTAATATTGTATTTTCGGTATACGGGTGAAGCGTAGTGTAGTAAAGTTTCGATGCTAAGTACAAAATTTATAACAATCCCAAATTTTATTCAAAACTAATTTCACTCAGAAGTAAATTACTCGAATTCCGTTAAGGGGTATGGCAATTGTGCAATTTTCAAAAAATCGTTTTTGTTTTTTGTCAATTTTAAGCCGATCGACCTTAAGTTTTAAGATTATTTTACGAATTGGATTTTGCAGAGAAGTACATGGGAAAATTTCAATTGATTCAAAACATTTTTCTTATAGCCAGTTTATTACGAAATTATTGACTGAAAACTAATTTTTTCTGATCAAAAGCCTATAATTTTTGAACTAATCAATATTTTAAAATTTCTCTGTGTACTTCTATGGGTATTCTCATTTAGATTAACGAACTTTGTTTTATTTTGTTCCAGGACGTCAATTGTGAGTTCTAAATGTCTCGGCGCTGCGCGCTTAGAAAACGACCAAAGAGGAACGTACGATTCTTTTATTACAGTCAACAAAATTAACCAAAAATAATCATTTTTTATCAGCTTGAGGTTCAAACTTGATATGTGTTTCATTAGTTATGTGAATAAATGATTATATTATGAAACAAATTAATGAATCTGCAGATGATTTAATACCCGGTACAGTGGCAAGGGGTATGGCGGTGTAAATTAAGGATATGTAATTACAATTATTTAACATACTTTTAAATTGTCAAAATAGTGCATTATTTGTTCGTAATCCATTTCAAAACCATCAAGGACTAGGTCATCTCTACTATCAACGTGATCATATGTTGTATTCGAAAACATAGGATTTCCAACAACTGTAGCTCTCTTAACTTCCTTTTTCAAGACGGATTTAATTTCTGATCTCAATAATTTTTCCCCCTCCTTCTCTTTTATTGAAATTGATGTCGGTGTCTTATTTTCTTGCGCTTCGCATATAATGCAATCTTCTGTAAAATAATTATCAAAAAATTTATTAAAGACATAGTTATTGTTGATATCATGGATTTTATTTAATTGCACTACTTACCAGCAACTCTGTCTATTTTACTATTTTGTGGTAGTGAATCAAATTGGAAAGCAGTTTTTCTGCTATAATCAGCAAATTGTACTATCTTTTCAGCGTTATGCATTTCATTGTAATTTGTTTGTTGTAAAGACTTGTGTATCAAATGGGCATCTTTTTGTATCTTTTCACTGTTTTTGCCAACTCCTATTTCAAAAAAGTTCACGCCAATTTCCTTTTCTTCTGCTTTAACTTTACCCAAAGCTACCCGCTCTTCATTATTCTTAAATAGGAAAATACAAATATATTAGGATCTACCGTTATATACATTTAAAATTTCTTTTAATGCAATGAACATCAATATGATTTGATGATGATACGATTTATATACATATCAACTTAATGGGAGTCTATCTAATTTACAAGAATTATGGCGATTTACATAAAACTTTCCTTGCTTTGCTGGACAGTTCATACATTAACAACGATGCGAAGAAAACCACAATGAACGCTTGCTTTCCGTGCTTCTCTCTGATATTTAATAGTTCGTGTATTGTTATTTTTATCTTAACAAATTATGTAAACTAAACTTACATACATACATACAAAGCATAAAAAGATGAGAGTTTCCCAATTGCTCTTTAATTTGCTTTGCCCGGATGTGGACGAACTCATACAAAAGCTACATCGTACTTAGCTCTCATAGCAAAGGACCGAAACAAAAGCTGTATTTGAATCAGAAATAATAATGTTATAGATGGCTAGGCCCTGCGCTCAATTACAGAATGACCAACTTCTGTAGCTGTCTTTCGAAACTAGATGCAAAACTCCGATTACAATAGTGGACGATTTTAATGCCAACTGCTTGGAGTAGGGGAAGTATAAACCATCCTAAGTGTCTAGTTCTAGAATTTCTACGTCAAACTAACTTAGGATAAAGTGCCACTACACTTACTAAAAAAGAAATAAAGGTCCCTTTAAGGCGCATTAAGACATCAGACAAAGATAGTGATTATATGACAATAATTGTACATTCGTTTTCGTTCGTTTTCTTGAGAGACGGAACCCTAAGTAGAAACACTTCTCGAAAACGATGCTGGAAGCAAAAGGAGCCAATACAGGACCCGATTTCATTTGTTAAGTGTCAAAACGATGCTGCAGAGTTAGTAACGGAAGAAGAACTTATAGCTATAGCCAAAAAGTACAAAACAACTAAGTATAGAGTTGGAGTTTGATATGGAGTTTTCAATCCAGGAAGTGGGTGGATTATTAAGAGCATTATATGGCTTTACGAAACAAAGATTCACCATTGGCGCACTAAACAATGTCGGCGGAACTAAAAAATGTTGCTCGCTGATTCCTTAAATAGCAAGCGACAATGATTTTTTTCCATAAATTTAGAACTGACTGAGTATAGAGAAAACTAAAAAAAATATTTCGCTCACCATAAAAAAGTGTAAGATTACTTTACAGCCACAACTATCTGGGGTTATACTCAAAACATTAATTTAGGAAGCAATTGAATTACACATTAGTTAAAATCTAAAAACTCTAATGGATAATTATTACAAAAGTAA